TGTCTTTCCGGGCCATGGAGGGTCTTATGGGCAACATGGCTCGTTTTTGTGGCTTATTCTGGACAGGCTGGAGGCACTGTGAAGGCCAGTTTTACTGGGTTATTTTGATGCTTACTCAGATTTTGTGGGCAACCAGTGCCACCGTCTGCTTCATATAATTCTCGCTTTAGATTTTTTGATGATTGAGATAGTGCCTAAATTCTGAGTCTTATGTTGTTGCCATTTCCATTTCCTATTTCTGCTATAGTCTTTGTAATTTTGTTTAGATTTAGCTCTTTGCTTTTCTTTACTTATTGTTACTTGTAATCTGAATTCTATTTCTTAATATATGGGCTCTTTTGCCCCGGGTTTACCCAAAAAAAAAAAAAAACTTGACAATTAATAACATTTAACATTCTCACGCAGATGCATATTAATCATGAACTCAATTAATGCCAATATTTTCATTACTATAAACTCAAATATAAAACATAGGCAATCTATGTAAGATAGATAAAAACACACAACATATCTGAGTTCTGTATTATTCTGTACCAGTCAGATGTATTTTCCAGTGTCAAATCTTGCCTGGAAACAATAATTGAATGTAGAAAGTAGAAACCCTATATAATCACTGAGAATCTGCACTACCTGAGGGCAAATCATGACCAGACCTTTTAAGACAAATTAGCGAGGACATTGTAGTTAACCAAAATAAGAAACACAGACAAATCCTATTGGCATAATATGCTTAACATGAAATATATTTCTGTTTTGATTTTGCATTTCCATAATAAAGAACTCTGCATCTCTGGCTTGACTACATAACTTCGAGTACTACTGAAAATAAGTGAAGGGTAATAATTCCATCATTGTATCAATGATTACTTGTCCCGAACATCCTTTCCTTGATGAAAGACAATGGAAGTACAACGAGATACACAACTCTCCTTGGCCTATTGGTTGAGAGCTTTGGCTTCCAACTAAGAGGTTCAGGGTTCGAGTCTATGTGTATGCGTTGTGTGTGTGAGTTTGCCTTAAATGGCCTAAATGTCCCAAAAAAAAAAAATTACAACGAGATAAATAAACCAGCAGGCAGTAGAACGAAAACAAGAACAAAAACCAGAACTAATCCAGACAAATTAAGTAAGCTTCTTATAAAGATTCCGACTTCGCTTGGGATGACTTTCTTACTGCTTCTCAAAACAGTTTTTCAATAAAAAATATAAAATTTTGAACCAAAAAGTTGCTTTAAGAAGCAGTAAGAAAGCCATCCCAAACGAAACCTCAATCATGCATAGCAATAAATATATGAGCATCAAACAGTAGAAAGACAAATAGCAGAAAGAAAGGAAAAGCAGAAAGAAAGGAAACCCTTGGCAGGATTGCTATGCGTGATAAATAAACAAAACAAGAAGGGATTTTGCTCATCAAAGTCGAGCTTCTTTTAAAAAAAAAAGATGGTGGGGGTATTAAGTAAATGTAGGACTCCTCTTCGGTCCATTTTTTTGTCTTTCTCCTGAATTTCGCTTGATTTTGTCATTTTTATTTGAGTGAATTGGGGAAGAGTATAAAGGAGAAGCAATTGATTAAAGAAAAAGGGGAATTTTATTGGCTTTAACCCTCAGAATGGTAGAAATAAATACAATTTAAAACTATGAATCAGTTTGATCTGGGCTTAGCCAAGCCTTTGGTATGGCCTTTTTCTGGGGGGACATTTAGGCCAATTAAGCAGACTCACACACACATCGCATATACAAGACTCGAACCCAAGACCTCTTCTTTGGTAGCTTAAGCTCCCAACCAACAGACCAAGATGAGCCGTGTCTTTGGTATAGCCTTAGTCTAAATTTAGGTTTATGTGCAATATAAACTCTCCTGAACTTTGCGAGCTTCAAAAGGTCCTCACACTAAAAGGAAATGTATGATCCAGGGGGATGGAAAACAAACAAAGTGCAAGAATCAACAGAAAGCACATTCAAGCGTATTCCACATATCTAAATGTTATTGATATTCAAATAAGTTTTACATAGTCTGGATAGATCTAAGTTTCTCATGGGTGCAAAACTGATAGTTAGTTGTATTGTAAATATGATACCAAAGATTAAGGAACTTTGCTCATGTTCTTCTAGTTTAATTAAAAATATACGAGTTACTCAACACAAGATTCAGATATTAATATTCTTCATTGGAGGGGATGATGGAAAATAAGAAATTAGAATATCACCCAAAGGAAAAATTAACGAGTTCCTGAGGCTAGGTGTACAGGTTTAACTTGATAATGGATAAATGAGTCTACATGGGTTCAGGACTGGATGATAAAAGCACGTGAAAATAGCCAAGGAACCTTGAGATTGGAGTGTTTAAGGAACCCTCCTCCTAAAGGAGACTCGGGAGCCGAGGAAAAAAACATAAGCCATATAAAAGGATACTAAGAAAGAAGATGGTCTTACAACTTCAATAATCCATTTGAAATACCCACAATAACAAACATATCAAAATAATGATGAGAATTATAGTCTACCTGAATCATCAAAGACGCTCATTAAGTTATGGCTCACATTTAGTGAATATGTGTCAGGAAATAAACTTTGAAACATTGAACAAATATGGATCATTAGAGAGATCCAACAAGCTACAATTCAATAGAGTTGTGCACAAAGGCAAAGTTATGATTGTTTTGCAAGATGAGATTGTTTGACTTAGAAAAAGAGGATAAGTTAGAGGCCTCTCGACTCTTATGCTTTTTTTGGTAAGTCGATAGAATGGGGGCTAGCAGTACAACATAGATACTTACCCTTGAGACCAAAAAAGGTGAGTGGCTTACAACTCAACAACTAGAGGAAGAATACTCAAAATACAATGAAGGATATATGCCTTCATGACTAACATGAGTGGGTTTACAAACCTATAACTAGAAGTATTGCCCAAATGGGGTCTTATACATCCCACTCAGGGATAAAGCCTCCCTGAGTTTGATACAAGAACGTGGATATGTGGTGTTGTTGACAGAAAGACACCCACAAAAAAGATTTGTCGTGCTCCGGTGTTGTTTTATTTACATTAGAAATTCTATCGCCAATAAAATTTTCTAAATTTGTGAATGAAAATTACGTTGAAAATTAGATCCTTTCTTGTAATAATAGGCCTAAATCCCAACCTTATGATCTACTTAGGAAATCTTGATCCTCATTAGGATCATTGGCAACCTAGTAAATTATATTGCCTTGTCCAGATAAATCTCCTTTCTCGATGCCTTATCTGAGAAGTCGCCTTTATCACCGACTTCTTAGCGCCTTACCCCAAGAAGTTCGTCTTCACAATGCCTTTTTGCTCCATCTCTTGACAAATTTGTCTTCTAACTAAATTCTCTCAAGATGTCTCCCTTTTAAGTGTCTCCTCTTGAGAAGTCTCCCTTCTCAACACCTAGTCCCAAGAAGCCGGTCCTCATGGATCTTTCTACTGAGAAGTTTTAGTTCGCATAAAATTTTTCCAATAAATTTCCTTTCTAGTTGGCACTTGGTTGACACATATTTGTTGACAAACTTAAGATCATTTTCTAGAGTCAACTACCCAAGCCTGATTCCTTGATCTAACCCTTCCATAGGGCTCAAACGTCTTAGTCTTGCATTATAAAAAAGGAGCCAAATCTGAAAAAATAGTTTGAGCTTCCTTGGCCATGCTTTCTTGGAAAGATTTTCTAACTAGAATATAGCTCAACAAATCCTTTTCAAGTCAAGTGCATCTTGATTAGTCACTACTAGTCACCCATGGTGCTTTTCGCACCAAAACTTTAGGGATATAAAGCTCAATCCCTAGTACTTCCTCTTGGTTTGAAAGATGACAGGGAAAATACAATTTACTTGGCAACTCTTCAAGTGCCATGTGAAACCTTTTAAGTAAAAAGAAATTAAACTCTTAAACATTGAAGCGTCTTTTGGTGTAATGGTTATAATTTCATTAAGAAAATCCACAGTTAAATGTGCTCATCCTGGAGAAATCTTGGGATGGGTGACCTCCTCGGAAGTTACACCAACAGGACAAAACCGTGAGACCCTTAGACCAAAGTGGACAATATTTTGATAGTTAAGAGTTTGAGTTGTTACATGACAAGGGTTTACTCTCTCAATACTGCCTCCTAGTGACAAAACCTTAAAGACTATAAAGTCCAATTCTCGGTACTACCCCTCAGTTTATAAGGTTGGCAATTGTTATCTGTTTTCATGTAGTCAAATTCAATTCAAAAGTTGGAACTCCCTAGTTTGTAAGATCTCAATCTCTCACTCCTGTTTCTCCCTTTTTGCCTCTTCCCTCGGCATGTGTAAAAGGGAGACATTGATTGCTACCTCCAAGAATCACAAGGCTAAGTTAAGTACTAGATGGTTGAGTGAGCTCATGGTTCACATAAGTCTTGATCAGCTTCTATCATAGCCGAGAAGGTCAAAGAATAGGTAACTCACAATTGCTTGATGCAGTTGAGTAAGCTCTTAGTGCATGATGCTTGATGATGTTAAAAGAAGCTTTTATTTGAGAAAGAGTGATGGCTGAGGTGAAAAAGTTTCATGTAATGAAGATTGTTAAAACAAATGAGAGTATTGGATTTAATTTTACAAAAAATATATAAAAAAATATGTTGGTGTAGAAGCAAAACGTAATTGAAAAGAGGGTTTCATCACTAATGCTTGGAATTCAGCTTTAACCCCATTTGCTTTTAGCCTTTTACACTCCCAAACACAGAAAAGATACCAAAGGCAACCAGGGAATAAACTAGGACAAACATACAAGTTGCATCATTTTTGTGTAAGATGAAACAGATTCCAATAAAAATAGGCTACACAGAATTTGTATCAAGAAAATATCAAACAAATGCATAACTTTCTATTGTACACACAAGCAATAATATCCACATGTTGTTAACTTAGTTACATAGATTATCACATAGCAGTAATTGACAAAGGAGATGTTCACTTTTTTTTTTTTTTTGAAACTGAAACCAAAGGGAATAAACTGTCATAAGAAAGGAGGAAAAGAGCAAACAATGAGTTAAGAATTCAAACAAATGTTCAACATTTTAACCATATATATATATATATATATATATATATATATATATATATATAAGCATTAGTAGTTATTACTATGATGGCCTATGTTAGTTCAATGCTGAAACATATAGAGAAACAATAGAGATTATATGCTAGTTCGCCAAGACAGAGCCATCATTCTAAAAGCTTTCATTGTCAACACATCAAACAACTGGAAGGCGGCATAGAAAAGGTAAAGAAGATAAAGCAAAACCATCTCCGCCTCAAAATGGGAAAGCTTCATAACACTCAGTGCTTATGGCACCTGGAAACACGAAACACGACACATCTGTCAGATCCCTAAGCATGAAAACAAATTTCACAAACAAGGAAAATGCTAACAAACCCTATCACCTTTTCGTAGCCACCAGGGCGCCACCACTTGGGTGGAGGTAAGGAAAGGCCTTTGCTTTTGGCGATTTCGAGAATATCTTGACGGCCTAAGCTCCTGTCGGAATTCTGCGAGACATTGTTGATTAGGGCGGTGAAATCGTCCAGCCGAAGGCGCGGCGGAGGGAAAGAAGAGGACCCCTTGCAGGCGGCCGGGATGTCCCTTAAGCCCTCTTCGTCAAGAAGGTTCGAAGGTGAATCCGGAATCCTCCGGATCTCCGACAGCGTATTGGGGTTAGGAGCGGCGGGCAAGTTCTGTCCGTCGAGGCTGCAGATGCCGGAGAAGAAGCAGGGTTCGCCAATTATGGGCGCGCGAAGGAGAGCTTCTTCTACCTCTGGACGTGTAATGCATTCGGAAATGATGGAGGCAAAGGGATCGTCCATGTGCGAGCAAGTCTGCCAGAAAGAGGAGAATGGACGAGGAAGACGTAGTATTAAGCCTACACGAAGAGAATTTTGGGCTCAAGATATCCTGATTTGATTATGACAAATTGACAATAGATTTATATATGGAAGAATTTATATACTTCTCATTTTATTTTATATTATCTATATATCTAATATTTAAAATTTAAATATTTTATTAATTAATATATAACTTTAATATTTTATTCATTATACTCATATTTAATATGTCTTATAGGCATTAAATATTAAAATTTTAAAAATTAGATATGTAAATAGTATAAAATAAAATGGTATATATGTAAAACTTTTTTATTCAATAATTAAAAATTTATATTTATTTATATTTTATTAAATTTTATTTGCAGTATATTTTAAACTTGTATTTTTTAAATAAAAATTCCAATATTATTGGCACATGCAAAGACAATATTTTTCTAGATCAATAAAAAATATTAATGTTAGTTTTATACAAGGCTTTTAAAATCGGATCGGACCGGCCGGTTCAACCGGTTGAACCGTGAACCGGCCGGCCGGTTACGGTTCAATATAAAACCTGTTTCGCCAAAAACCGGCGCCGAACTGCTCGAACTGGCGGTTCGATCGCCGAACCGGCGAACCGGTTCCGGTTTCATTTAACCAGACTGCTCGCTAAAAAAAAAACGGGCGGCTGAGATTTGATCTTGCGGACAGCGGAGGCACGAAGAAGCCTTGCTCTGGTCGCCAAAAGGTTCTCTGTGAAAACCCTATTCGACTTCGGCTCTGGTCGCTCCCGCGATGACTTCTCGGCAGCCCCATAAACTCTCCTTCAAAGCTTCCATGCTCCTCTTTTTCCCTTTCTCACCTAGCCATATATCCTGATCAGTGCAGCTATGAGCAACCAGGGCCGCCGACAAACTGGGACATCCGCATTGTCCCCGAGAAGAAGGCATACGTGGTGGAACGTTTCGGGAAGTATCTTAAAACCCTATCATCTGGGATTCACCTCCTTGTTCCCTTCATTGATAGAATCGCTTACGTTCACTCGCTGAAGGAGGAGGCGATCTCGATCCCGGAACAATCTACCATTACCAAGGATAATGTCAGCATACCTATTGATGGAGTTTTGTACGTTAAGGTTTGGGCTTTTTTATCTTTCAATCTTCCTTCTATACAAGTTTTCTTCTCCCAGATCCTGTCATTCCTTTTTGTCATTTAAAATGCACTTTTTTTTTTCATTTAAAATGCACTTCATTCATCATAAGTTAGGTTTAAACTTTAGTCATTTTTTCTGCAGGGTGCTTTATTTTTTCTACCTCATATTATAATTATGTTCAATGTTTGTGATATATTTATAGATAGTTGTATTATTATTATAATATTTAAATATAATAAATATTTATTAGGTCATCCGGTTCGACCCTGGTTCGACCCCGGTCGAACCATCGAACCACTAACCTCTTCTTCTTCCGGTTCATTGACCGGTGTTTTAAAAGCCTTGGTTTTATACATAAATAGTATTTAAGGACATATATGTAATTATTTTTAAATTTCTATAAATATAAAAATATTTTGTAATAAATTCCCCCACCGCCCCCAAATGAGAGATAATTTATTATATTCAAAAAATTTAAGATAAATAACTCTTTTTCATTTACATAAATATTCTATTTTATAGATGTTGAATTTTTTTTTATATAGATTGTGAAAATAAGATTGACTATAGTGACCTTAGCACCCTAGATGAAAATAAAGATTTATATTTTTATCGGCGTATTAGTAAAACTGAAGTTAGAGAGGCTTTAAAGAAAATGAAGGGTGGAAAAGCTGTTGGACCTGATGATATTCCAATAGAGGTGTGGAAATGCTTAGGAGATGAAGGAATTTCATGGCTTACTAAACTTTTTAATACTATTTTGAAGACTAAAAAGATGCCAGATGAATG